CTCCTTTGAAACCTTTACTTTCAACACTCAAATGATCGTTTTCATTTTTTATCTCTCGTTGATCCTTTTCAAAATTTTTTCTCGTATAACTTCGGTTAAAACCATTTATGAAAGTAAAATATAGAATAAACTTATATTTTATGATGAAAATTTAGATAATTAAAATATCAAACATAAAGAGATCCCTTTGTTCGTAATTATTAGAAGTAGCATTTTAATATAAATGACCTATTCACACAAAACGTTTTTCTATTACTAATATAAGGAGTACGCGTTATCAAAACTAACAACCAAACTAACAACTGTTTTAGCTTAAATTCTTGTGTGAATTAAAAATTAATATTTTTTTATGATTTTACTGCAATTAGATAAATGAATGCTTCTTCTCCTACTTTTTATTTGTAATATATTGTGTAAATTTCGAATTTTATATTAAAATAAATGTGAAAAGAATTATTAAATATACATAGTTCTTGCGCTAATTCTAGTCGTCTGTGGTATGTGAGTCGTGAGACGAGGGTTACTGACTTCTCAGTGATTTGACGTAACCAAGATATTTGAGGAAAACCAGTCTCCACATAACCTACTTAGAATGTGTCTTAATTATAGTAATGGGTCATATATATATATAACTCCAGTATTATTGTTTATTACAAAATTTATGTAATTGTTATTTTTAATATACGAGTATGTGAATATAAAATGATTTATTTGACTGTGTTTAACGATAATTTTTTTCACATTATTGTCGATGACTTTCAATGTCAGCAATTTAAAATAAATGGAAAATTTTTATGACTTAATGTTTGTATATTTATATATGTACAACGTGGATAAGAAAACAATTCTAAATTAAATAACATACACTTGACACCAATTCTAATCCTCATAATAGAGACAATTTTTATAATTTTACTTACTACAAATACTATTTTAGAAATTAAACAATATTTTAACAGACGTATTCTCAAGAACTTGGGTGTGTTTTCACGCCATTATCACACTGTCATCGAACTCAAAATCTGCAAGTGTGAATAACACATTGCTAGGTCACTTTTACTGATACGCTTACTGAATATGTCCATTAATAATACTCATAGGACATAAACAAATGCAGAGGATGCCAAATGAATACTGAGACAACAAATGCATCATAGTTTCAAAGTTACTTTAAGTCCTTAGAACCTTATAACGTTATTCTTTTTTTATTTTCACCCTTTATAAGGTCAAACGAGTACGACCCCAATTTTGGTTTCATTTAGCTAATTACTCTCAAAATTGTTTTTATACGTAATCAGACTCTATAATTATATATATTGGTACTAAATGACTGTAAATGTACGATAATAGATGATTACTATGTACCGAAAGTATTTTATTGTCAATTATAATATATTTTATGGTGAAATTTTATAAAATATTTGAACAGATTCGGAATAAACGAATTGAGACGATATCTTCTCAGCATTCCATGAATTCCCCGTGAGTCCATAGCGTTGAAGGGAGAGAAGCTTTAACAGTGCCTGGGACTAGCGACTTAGGTGTAAATTTTAGAAGAACCTGTTTAACGAGCGTGAAACGCACCCCTCCATCGTCCAAGCTCCTCTCTCTACTTAAACAAATTTGAATCGAACCGACTAGGGCTTCAAAAGAAGTACATTGTAGAGAGAATCAGATGTTATGTCTCTCGTTCTTACTTCTATCGCGTATAAGTTTACAATGAACCTATTTTTAGTGAGTTCGTAATACATGGTGACCTTAATGGCATGGTCTTTGGGATCTTGGTTTCCCAAGTAATCGTATGCTTTATTAGCACAACGCGCTTTAAAATTCTCAAATATAGAAATATGTCTGTTCTGGATCATCCTGTAGAATTTCAGAGGTTTTGAAGAAGTCAACCTTTGATCCTGCAAAACTCTTGATGCTCTTTCATGTGACCATGCGAGACGACATGAGCAAATATTCCATTAAAACGACCTAAAGAGAAGTAAGAAATATAGCTTCAAACCCCGGCCAAGAGTTAATACCAATACTTTTTCAAAGATTCGACTTCTTTGTTCGGGAATATTGTACATATCGTAGATGTTTTCAAAGGTGTCTAAATATCTTCATTTAGGGTTTTACTACTGGTCAATTACATGATATTAACCAATAGGTTAAGGTCTTCATATTTATTTATTTTTAATTTATTTATTTACATATTATCGCCAGCACTAGGATTGTGTTTATATGTATGTCATGCATATATTCTATTATGTTCCTATCAGCCTTTTGGAAAAGAAAAAACTTTAAACATGGTAAATAAAATTTTAACCTTTCATTTTATTGGCGGACCTGACGCTGGAAAGTTTGCGTTAGGAACAAATTGGTGCGGACAATTAAATTGTGTAACCGTCGCAGTGGTTTACTGCCGACTGAAGTAGATTGACATGTGTTGGCCAAAGCCCTGCCACATCCTGCCGATTAGGGACGTAAGAAGTTCTTGGATTATAGTAAAAATTTGTACCAAACTATAAGAAATAAAACTCATTGGCTGTCAAATAAATAACTCATACTTATTTTTTATTTGATAACTTTATCATAAAATATAGCGAACATATATCTTTACGTATTTTGAACTTTTTTTATCCTATTCAGACCAGTTTTAGTCATAGATAAATTATTTGTAAGCCAAGAAAAATAATCTCTCAGAATGGATTCTTTAAAACGCGGCCGGAAAGTAATACCTGGTAGAAACTTGAATAGATTTATTTGATAAATTTACTTATATTTCTGGGAATTATTGACTAACAGAAATTAGTTCTGAAAACTAAAGCTACTCGTACCAAATGGTAACCAAACCAAAATACGAAAGTATTTCCTATACTTCTCTATTCTATACTGCAAAACTTTCATAAACTAAAATATATTATTTAGTATTTAGTTTAAAAAAATATAAAATATAACATCTTTATGTAAGCTACCAATACATACCAATCTATATATTTTTTTAACATTTTGCGTTACCCTTATTTAAGATACGAGTATTAATCAATAACTCAGTAGAGACATGTGTGACACAATCGTATGTTCCTGAGAATAATGTATGTTTCACCGCAATTTAGCCAAATGTCGTAACTGGGTCATTTTCACAACGATTTATTGTAACGACTCTTTTACTAATATTGTTTACTACGGTAATGGTCAGTTTTATTATTGCACATCTTGCTGTTTCGTTCTCATGAATCATGATGAAGTCTCTTGATAAATGAGACAATTATGAATGTTGTAATTACAAATGTCATAATTATATTTCGTTACTGTATGATATTACGCAGTATTCTGAATAATACATCCATACGACAATTATGATTAAGAAATATTTTGATTGACTAAATAATTATAACTTTTTTATGTTTCAACAAGATCAGGATTTTGACATCAGTGTTTGAAAATAAAATATCTCTAAACAATTATGTATATATCTGAATACATACCTTAAATTTATTTAAAAAAAACAGACAAGAAAAAATTAAGTACACTTACGTCTTGTTTTTGCAATGTTTAAATAACATTATTTATATAAGGATTAAAAGTGTTAACTGCACTGAGCTCCACTTCAATTCTACTTTTGGTAATGCTTACAATATTTTTAGTTGTTACATTTTTGTGAAAGCTCTTCTTTTATTTCATTATTTAACATCACTTTGTCTCTATCCTAATTTTGTCTTTTAAGTGTGGGCTGAAAGCTTTTGGTAGAAAAGGCATCGCTAAAGCAAATATTGTGTTTGGGAAAGCCCTAAAACATATAAAGGCCTTAAACAATACCTTCATAGAGAAACTTAAAAAAGTAGAAATATTTAAATTAAAAATGTTACATTAAATGAACAAAGTGGTCGCCGTTCTTTGTGACTTTAAAATTATAATTTGTTGCTCTCTAACTAATTTCTGATTTCAAAAAAGGCAAAAATGTTTTTAGAATGCTCCTTACGTTATTTTTTCGAGTTTGTGTTATTTAAAAATGTTATATTCTTAAGGCTATACGAACTTTAGGACTTGCACCTTGTGATAAACGAAGTTAAGATTAGTTCTCATAGTTTCACCGGAATTTATCTTGAATATTACAAACAGTTCAGTTCATTTCCTTTAGTATATATCTTGAAGACCTATTAACACCAATATATATTGTTATTACTCACAAACAAAATTCCAGGCCTACACAACTTTTTTCATACTGTTTTATGAATTAATATTTATATTTAATATATACAATTAATTTGAACACAGCATTTTAGATTCTTTTCCCTCAGCGGTAGTATTTTTAACCGGTTGATTGGTGAAGTTTCATATTTGAAATTAATGCACTTACAAATTAATGTACAAAAAAATATATATTATATTAACCTTAATTACTACATTTTCCAAATATAACGTTGAAGAAATGCACTAAAAACAGCTTATTTGAGTTACGAGACGGTTTTCATAAATAAAATAATACCATTACATTATTATGTATTTTCATACAGAGCGTGTGTAATATATTGTCTCAAAATCTTCATTTTCCGTGGTTATAATATAATAATATGGTTATATTTGTATACTTATGCATTATTTTTTTATTTAGAAAGTACAAAAAAGAGTTATTACAAATTCTATAGCAATTAACAGTTCAATCGAATCGAATTCGGTGATATACTCTTCGAAAATTGTCTCAGTAATAACTCCTATGTGTCACTGTCATATGTCCACTTAGATACATAGTGGTGGCGTCAGAATAACATGATTGGTTTTAGGCACGTCACATAACAATACCTCGAGTTTCGTAATCAAAGATACCCTGTCATGACGCAATATTCGAAGTGCTATAAATGAAATATGGCTCTATCTCATATTCATTCTCTGGAATAATATTATGAATATGTGTACCATAAGTTTCATGACTAATGGTTATTACTTAATTATACATATAAAATTACGCCTATCCAGATTATATAAGTAATAAATAATTTATTTTGTTACAGTATCATCAGCTCAACGTGAGACTGGAAAGGGTATGCCCAACAATGCATCGGCCACAGCAACGCCCGGCGCAGACAACGTCATCCGACCAGCCTTAGCTGAACCCCGCCCAACCCCACGAACCGGCCCCTACTTCGATTTAGTGGCGTCCAAGAATGTCACCGCATTACTTGGAAAGACCGCTTACCTAAATTGCCGAGTGAAAAACTTAGGGAATAAAACAGTAAGTATAATACATAACATAGTTTAAAATTCTACTATATTTATGTATATTGTGAATGATATACAAGTAAATATGCATATATTAGAAACCAAAAATTACGTCACGCACACCATTATTAAAATAGAAAAGCTAAGTGCACACGTTCACACTAACGAGTCCCTCTTATTTCAAAGCCAACGTCCAATTTACATAGCGGTGTACCACAAAATCCTCGTTCAAAATGAAACGTAACAATAGCACAATGCAAGTTTAAAGTCCCTATTGTGAGAGCAACTTTATAAATAAAAGTCTCATTAGGCCGTGATGCCATATCTTCCATATAAATAACAACGGCTAACGAGATGGCTGCAGCCCCCGTCCACACAAGCGCTTTAATACCATTCACAATGATAACCCAGCCTACTTTCGTTATCATAATGACATTATTATTCCGACTGCGACTTCACCATTCAACAATGAATTTCAAATTATAGAACTTTGTTGCTAATAACTAAGACCAATATTTTCATATAATTATTATCAAAAAATGATGCTCCTACACATTTTTGTGTAATAAGTTAATGGAATACTGTTTCAAATTATAATAACAGAATAGAATATAGAATACTTTAAATGAATAACATACAATATGTTATTAATTTAAACTATTTCTTCCAATAGATATAATTTATGAACAACATGTGCCAACAATAAGATTTTACTAATAGAATATTCAAGCAAGCACTGAAACTCCCTCATTAAAAACTTCATCGCGTTAAATTCCTTAATAAAATCTTAATGTACCAGCAAATGAGGGCTGTGGGTATGCTAATGTTGGTGCGGAGGCCGGCAAATGAGAGACCTAATAGTGTATTTGTGCAATTGCACAACCCATGCACAGTTCGAAGTAGCATTTAGTGTTTCAACAGATTTTAACAAGGTCATAAGTTCAGATTTTTATTCAATACCATACAAGCACGTTCGAGAAAATCGTAACCTAGTTTCCAGCTAATTTAATTAAACACAGTTAGTTCTAAACGTCACCAGAAATTATTTGTGATGTTTTCTTTCTTCGTCGTCTTTAATTTAAACCACAGTATATATGTAGTTAAAATGTACGGTCGCACACACGCACTCGTACACACACACACACACATGCACACAGACAGACACCGACATCAAACTTACAATAGCACTTTTGAGCATCGGCGGTTACATAAACAATCCAAATAAAACTTTGCAGAATATACAATAAAGTTGTAATATATCAAAAGAATTTGATACACAATATTTTTCAAAGACTACCTTTGTGGTATATATTGTGACCGTACAGCTTACAGTGTCAGCAGCTAGTTTAAATTTATCTTTATTTCCTACTGTTTCATATACATGTGGTAAGTTAATAATGTTAAGTAATTGTAGTGTTTTATTTAACACATTATTAAAAAATGTTTGCAAGATAGAAGACATGAGAATAATGACCGGGAACATAATGGATATAAGATAACACAAACGCATTAACAAACGGATGGGATATTTTGCATGACATAACTCAACCTTTCGAGACTGGAATCGTTATTTCGATTAGAAACGTAACTAGATTTACTTCGTTATAAATATATTATTTATTGATAAACAATATAGACTTTAAAATAAATGTATAATAAACAAGATTTCTAATTTATATTATTTCTATTAATTATTAAACTACATATCGAATGACATTCGAACTTATAGCATAATAGTCAACCATAATTCCACATTGTAATGAGAAGCACAACTCAATTCATTTTGAAGAGTCAGTATTTTTGTCAATTTGTTAGTTTCCAGATGTAATCGTACGTAAATAAAAAGGTATTTAACAAATATATGTACTTATTTTAAAATTCTGTTCATTAATACATTCATAAAGGATTTTGTTGCTTTAAAAATTAATTAAATTATAATATTTTAGTTCCCTACATTAAAATGAAACCAAATATTATACGAAAAATAAATAGTTTTTAATGCATTGATTTAATAAGACCGTTTTGTATTGTTTTTAGCTCACAATATCATCTAAAATTCTATTTATTGTGACAGTTTTTAATCTCACTTTCAGTTTAAACCGTCATAAAATTAAGCATCAATCTCAGAATTTTCCGCTTTAAAGGATTATCAGAAAGGACTGGTAGCAATAAAGTTTAAAAGGGAATTGATATCATCAATGCTCGCTTGAAGTTCTTAAACAATCAATTTCGAGTGTTTGTGTCAGAAATGAAAACTTTAACAGGTTTTCAATTTATATTATGGCTTTAAATTGAAACAAACTGATTGAAATTGATTAACAATTTTCTGTATACAGGTTTATGTCTGAAATATAGTAATCCTATATCAGGTTCATTCCCAACATTTATATTTTGAAACATTTTTTATAAGTCAAAACAACAAGAATCCTTTTAGTAATTGATCTATGAAGTAATGTGTAAAAAAAATAATTAATATATGAAATCATAAACTGTTAATGTTTGTTTGTTATAGCTCAATATGCAGGTATCTTGGGTGAGGCACAGAGACATTCATTTGCTGACTGTAGGTCGGTATACCTACACGAGCGACCAGAGATTTAGAGCTATTCACCTACCACACTCAGAAGATTGGACATTACAGGTAAAATATTATTTTTATTATTCCATCTACATAAAGGATTCATTACATGTTCTCGTATGTTATAAATGAAGACTTATAAGTTTTATAATATTAAATTAAAAATATTTGTTGTTGGTATGAAATTGATTGATATTAATATGAAACTGATTAATTAGAAACATTTTTAATGAAAACTAAAATATTAAAGGAAATAATTTGGGTATGATGATATGATTTTTTTTTAAATATTTATTACAAAAGAAGTGTTCGTTTAATATGATTTTCTTTTTCCAAATTAACTTTATGAAAACTATTTATTCATATTAAGATTATGATAAAAATAATGAGTAAATAGAGTTTCAGATTTATACGTGTTTACATAATCATATTATCTCCAAGCCGTATAAAGGCTTCACATTGTTTAAGATAAAAAAAAACAAAAAAGGGGTGTTACTTATATATTTGGATGCAAAAAATAAGGTTAATATAGTTTTTCAAAAATAATATATTTATTTATTTTAGAAATTTTCATAATTTACTTTCATATCAGATATATGATTACGATCAGGGAGCTGAGTAATAGATATAGGTCGTTTTTAAAATCAAAGATATATGGATATATATGGATTCAATGCTAAAGTCTTATTTCCAACTAATATAATTCTTATAAAAGCTAAAAATACCATAAAGTTTCTTATAATTATAAGATGTTCTTAAATTAAAATGTGTTATAAAAAAGTATATAAAAAATACAGTAAAAGGTATTTGTAATTTTCTTTAATATTATATTTTACCTACAATTTTCTTATTTTTTTCTATCTCATATAAAAGGACATAACAAAAAAATTCTTGAACTCGGTCCAACCGATATACGTAATAGTGCGTTCCAGGGGAAAACAGATTCGTTTCAATATTAATTAATTAAATTTCATACTTAATACGTTTATTATTGAATATAAAATTAGACTCATACTAAAAGTAATATTGTTACAGATAAAATATCCACAGCACAGAGATTCTGGGATATACGAGTGTCAGATATCTACCACTCCACATATGAGTCATTTTATACACTTGAATGTCGTTGGTAAGTACAGAATGTAAGACATAAATAATTAATGTACAAAGTAAACAGTTTATTTCACTTTAGTAGGTAAGGTAGGTAGTTTAATAGAAAAATAAATTAAGTACGTTCCTTTTTACATCTTCAGGTAAATTACTTTCGCCGTCAGAATACACATAATAAAATTAAGCATCATCACAATTAGATATGAAAGTTTGTTTATAAGAAAATTTAAGCATCATAACCCAACATTGGAAGTAGGAGTCGTTAACTTATTTAACAGTACAAGTATCGCGTCACGAGCTCTTCGAGTTTCGTCCTAAAATGTTTACATTTCCACAAGTTTGTTAATTATGTGCGGCGTATGAAAGAAGCTGCTAAAGAAAAACAAAACTCAATGGAATGTTGACGTGAACACTCAACTTAAAGTCTGAAATAAGAATAGGATAGGCATTTACTCAATATGTTTTTTGTATTTATAACCTACAAATCTATTTATAATTTATAACTTGAAAATCCAGGTTCTTCATGATTATTTATCATTTTAAATTAATAATTTACCTTTTACAGAGGTTTTAAGGTCGATGTTATTAAATTCAAACCTAGATAATGGTAATTTATCATACCGTGTTTCCTATCGTTGCTTCTGTAAATTAATATTTTGTTATAAAACATGACATAAAAACAGCGGACGTTAAAGATTTTTATCGCTTGACGTTTATTATTAAGTAATAAATGTCCGTGGAGGCGACAACCCTAGAGTACAGTAAAAAATGTCTTCACGACTAAAATTAATTTCTTTCAGTGCGAATAGGGACAGATTTTTATATTTTCATTATCTGCAGACTGTAAATTGTAGATATTAAAGTTTTGTATCTTGCTTGTTTTCATTGAAAATATTAAACTTGGCCATTTTATTAATCCAAGATAAGCTTGAGAACAGTTATTACTGCAATTTTAAACTCTTCTTCAAACGTTTTTAATTGTAACTTATTTAAATAATATTTTTAGTTTATGCTACATATTGTGGTAGAAACAAACGAAAAATGATGTTAATGTATAACTTAGTTACAAACTAAGTAATTCGTTACCTTTGTCATACATGCCCTACATGGAAAGTTTTGGTCTTAAAATGTTTTTGTATTTCAGAGCCGACGACAGAAATTATAGGCGGTCCAGACTTGTATATCGATCGTGGCAGTACTATCAATTTAACATGCGTAGTACTCTATTCACCTGAACCGCCGGCTTATATATTTTGGAACCACAATGATGCGGTAATTATTTTTCATACCAAAAAAAATAAATTAATGTATTATGCTACCATAAATAGATATCAAAGTTACTATAATTAACTGTTGTGAACAATAGTCTTTGATAAAAAAAATGTATTTTACATACACTTATTACAATTATCAATCCAAGCGTTTTTGATGGTTACATAATTATTTATTACATTGATAATATTTTGTCTATTTTAATAATGTGTCGTTTTAGATTATAAGCTACGACTCCCCCCGAGGTGGAGTATCTGTTGTAACAGAGAAGGGAGAAACGACAACATCTTTCTTACTTATCCAACAAGCGAGGCCGTCAGATTCTGGCACTTACCAGTGCAATCCGAGCAACGCTCAGTCGAAAAGCATCGTTGTACATGTACTTAATGGTGAGTGCTGTGTTGATATTTAACATTTCATTAATACATAGTGTATTAATTTCTGATAAAAAAGGAAAAACATACTATATTAGTTGGTGATGAAAAAGAAAAGATGTAAGGCTTAGACACAGTGGTGTGAAATTGGCACAGTTTTTTAATTATTTTATGGTTGTTTGATATATATTATATAGTCTTAAAAAAAATCATATTAATTGTAATATTTTCAATTTCAACAAAGTCACTACCATAATTAAAACTGGGAAACATAAATTTTCTTATTCGGTATCAACCAAAGCAATAAATAATATAATAATATTAAAATTATAAATGTTTTTGTTACAAAAGAAGCAATTATTGGGAACATTACGTTAATTTATAGGATAATAACCGACATTTATATAAAAAAAATCTACATTTGACAGCACTATTTGTTAGAAAGATCCCAATTTCCTTGATAAATGAGCTCACTAGATAACGAAGTATTTTTAAATCCCAGAATGAAATAAATTGGATGCTATTACCATTAACAGAAACGATGAATCAAATAAACGAAACGTGGACTACATTGGAGAGTTGACTTATTTTATGAGCAACAATTGTAATAACGTATCAGTGGAAAAAACAATTATCATCTTAAGAAGTCATAGGATAGTTTCCTGAAACTAAAATTTAGGTTTATGCGAATAATTTCTTGTAATAATTTTTACGTAAAAATGTTTTCTTTTTCTCGTGATATTTTCCTGTGATGTTATGAAAGAGAACAGTTTTAATGTTTGCCACAGAAGCAAATTCGATTTTCCCTTTGTCAGGTGAGTATCCAGCCGCGATGCAGAGAGGAGGGCAGACTTTCGAACCCACATCGACTTACTGCATTCTTCTGGCAACCAGCCTTTTCATAGCTTTATCTTGACATACAAGTGGTGTTATTGACATGTAAATATAGGCCCAACCTATTTCACTGTTTATAATGATGCTCTTGACTGATTATGAAACAGCTTAGAAGTGTTTTTTTATTCTTACACTTCAATTATTTTTCGATTGAAAACAATATTAAGCGTAATCATACTTTTCTTTCGTATAATTTGTACAAAAGTGTTCTCACACATGACGTTATAAAATTCTCAATTTCATTTTATCCCTTACGTATATTAATTTATTGCATATATTGCATATGCAATGAAAATTATACAAAAAACGAATACATGATAAATATCATTATAAGCAGCTGAAACAGTTTTACTATTTTATAGTGTGGGTTGTGTTATGTATGATAGTAAATTTAATTATCCACTGAGCAAGTAGATATGCTTGTTTCTCATAGATTTGTATATAAACTAAATTAAGATAACTTGCTGAGTTGATTTCATCACTTCTAGTATAAACAGCTATATGTTTTCCTAGTATCCATATAGCATCTCTATAAAACGATAAATTAATTAGGATGTTCAAAATTATTCAAATTATAGAGGAGATTACTGATCTAAAATTCATTTTATCTTCCGTTCGTAAGAAGAAAAGTGACAATCGAATGATAAAATCGCAGGTGATTAAGAGTGAAGAAATTGTGAGTTATAAAAGTAAAACAGGAATGAAAACACAGCTGACAATACTATAATTACAAAAACGTTTAGGGAATACGAGGACTGTATATATAAAGAGTAAAGATATACGAATCATTCTATATAGTTTTACTCTGTAAAATGTAAATTGTAAGTAACGTTTTTATCTGTGGATTGAAACGTAATGTAAATATACGTATTATATGTATGAGTATATAAATACTTTGACGGGTCATTTAGTCTTTATTTTCGAATTTCTAAGTATAAAGCTCGTACTATCTACACATACGTAGAATAATTGCTCGTCTAAATAATGTATTAAATGACTATAACTATTATTTAATACACTTGTTAAGACATCGTACTTTTTTAAAATGATTTTTACCGTTGTATTTTTTGGAACATATAACCGCTTTATATAAATTTAGAATGACCCGCTAAAGTCTATGAGAATATATAATAGATATTATGTAAGTTATTTTAGTACTACAGAAAAAAATATATAAATTTTACATTTTAGTAAATTATGTAATGTTTAATTAAAAAATGTATAATATGCTATATTAATTGTGATCTTTCCTTTAGTGTAATCAAATATTGTTTTGTTTTATCTTTTGCGTAGATTGCAATCATTTGTAAATTATAAATCAGTGTAAAAATGGGAAATAAAAAATCCTAATATTTTATTCGGAAGCACTTGTAATCGTTCCCCGTCCTGACACAATTTCCTCACTTGTAGTATGAGGTTGAAGTGCTTTTAAAGACAGATGCTGTCATAAAACTATTATTATTTCAAACGTCTAATTGTACATAATTGTTTACGTGTTATTTATATTTAGTATTTGAATCATCTTTGTGTAAATTTATGAGAAAAATATTTCATCGTATCTATCATGTGATAGCTTACGTGACAGATCTCGACTATTATAACCAGTTAATATGTGGAAAGTTTATTATCGTATACAAATAACAATAGAATACTTGTTGTATGTATTGTAATTGATGCTCTGTGCGCAGTATAAATTACATCTATAATAAACATTATAAAGAAATAATAAAGTTTTGAAAAAATACGTGTTTCATTTGCAAAACATTTCATGATTCATTTTAATATTTTTATGATGTTTTAAAAAATACAAGTGCCCGTTTTATTATAACAATAAAATTTATCACTATCCATTGAAAATAATACAATTAAAACAGATACTTTACATGATTTTAAAATACCTTTAAAAGCAACTACTGAAGAATATTATAAAATGAAAGAGAAATAGAATTAAATATTCATAGAGAATTTTTTATCTCGGTTGAAAAAAGTATTTATTTTGAAATGATGACTGTCGCTTAAATAAATGCAGTGTCATTACGACTTTGCGGAGGAATGAAAACAGAGACACAAGGGAAAGCTGAGAAGAATGCATTATGGTTTCATATTACTGTTGGGCTCTAAAACTTTTTGTTTACACACAGGCAAAATACAGAGATCCATTTGGGTGGGATAAATATGGCGGCCAGGCGGCGCCTTATGAATATCTAATCACTGAAAAGAGACGAAAGATAACCCACCCTACTTCATAGAGTTACAATATAAGTAACATTAGATGAAGGTTCATTGTTTTTATAGGAAAATTTTCACCATATCGACAGCTTTCATATTCATTCGTTTGTTTAATGAATAAATAAAATGTCTTGTTGAAGTCAGTATTATTATTTTTTTCGCTTTAATATATTCTTACTATAATTATTCATATTTTTGCTATATATGTATATTTAAAAACTTGATTTGATATATAATTAATGTCTTCATTTCATTATAAGAATTGAAACAGATTTTGAAATGAAATGTTATGTTAAAATTGTTATTTATTTATGTAAGTATGTACACTTATAAACCATTTTTGATTTATGCAACTTAAAATTAGATTCACCTATTGGTTTTGAATATTATATATGGTTTTATACTGAGAAGTCTTCTAGTTTAGTTGTTTCGAAAATTTAAACCCAACTTAAACTAAAACAGACAAGTAACAAAAGGAGAGTGTTTATAAGTATGTATATCATATGTATGTATTTATATGCCAGGCAGCACTTCACTCAACTATATTGAAGGGAAAGTAACGACCTGACGTACGATCAACACCCAACCATCATTATAATGAGCATTAAGCCACCAGCTAACGAGTTAACTGTAATTAAAATTTATACAAGAAAATTGTTAAATCATATATTGTATAAATAATATGAAGTATATTGAGAGAAAAATAAAAATTATTTAGCAATGAAATGTAAATAAAATTGTATAGAAAAAAGCTTATTACTGTGTATGTCCTAAATATTTTTCAATATATATGACAGAAACATTTTTTTTTTTATTTATTAAGCATAATTATTCAAACTTTATTATTTTTATATAGAACATTTATACCCAGACGAATCCATTAATGGCTGGGTAACTTAAAATCGGTATCAAAAATTTTAATGAATTTAAAAAGATGACTATCTGAATAATTAAATATGAGCTTCGCGTACTAGATGAAATAAATCAACTTTAAGACAATATTAAAATATTTTAACATATTATAAAGGTAATACTTTGAACACTTTAATATATTACCCATATATATCGTATAATATTACTAAAATAGTTTTTTTAAGTTTGACCTGGGATGAGGCGATAAACCATATATTTTATATATAAATTTTCCGCTCTATCCATTAAAAACATCTGCCTTAAAATGGAGCTACAACATAGCACCTAAACTCTCATAGTTACAATGAGCTGTACGTATATTACAAGTTATAAAAAATTATGAAAATATTTCATATACTCTTATTACACAAACAAGAAAAAGAATAGTAGTCAATGATTTGTTAAATTCAGACAGATTGTTAAGAATAAGTGAAATAGGTGATCGGGTTGAAAATACACTGAAAATGCACAACAAAGAAGCCTATATTTGTCTCAATAATAACAGTTCACATTATTGAAGTTTCTTTTGCTATGCCATGAATTGTATTACTTAAATTAGATTAGTATATATATAAAAAAATATTTATAAAACGTTGTGACCCTAAAAAGGTTGTTTTTTAAGAACCTTTAATATTTTGTCAAAGATAGCTTTTCTCATCTCTCTATAAAACATTAGACAAAATTATTAGACTTCTTATGTAAACTTCATTATAAGATTTATTTAAATCAATTAAAAATTTAAAGTGTAGAGACAAGAGTTAAAGAAGATTTTTGTGATTTTTCTAATTTGTTTCAAATATTTGGCACAAAATATTTTCTTAAAAATGATTCTTATAGTTATATTTTGTCCAAAAATAAATAAATTGAAACACAAAAGTGAAAGCCCCAATCATATTATTCTTTTTTTATGTAAGAGTTGGTAAACCAGCAGATGGACCATGGACATCTAAAACATAAGGGGTGTCGCAGATGCGTTGCCAACCTCTATTGTGGGGGAGGGAGACGAAAGGATAGTAAACAAGAAAAGGCAAGGAAAAATGGGAAAAGCAAATGGGCAACCGGCTCTCTCACTCATCGGACGAAACGCAGTCATCAATGACTAATTCACTCCGATCTTCTGTGAGAGAGTGGTACTTCCCCAGTCGAGTAAGCCCATGTTTGGACTGTAGTTACTTGACCACAGCTAGGCTCTAACACCAATATACATATGTAGCCTAAATAGCAAAAAAACCCAATGCTTTCATTTGCAATATGTGGTTTATCTTTGTAGATTTGATTATACTGTTTATTTATACTGTTTATTATTAATAACCATAACATGCTATAGTTTTGCATTATGCTTACTAAGCAAATTATAAATTACTTCTTAATTGTTAAAAGTTCGAAAAGTTGGACGCCAAACCAACTTTTTTGCTTATCACCACGAAATCAAGTTATAAAACACGCAACGAAACTTTACTGGATTCGCCTCATTACCATAGTTTAACTGTTAATTTTTCTCTCTAATTGGACTTTTGCTGTAGTTAACATTAATTTCCAAATAAACTTTAAAGTGACTGTATCTTTTTCAAATTATATGTTCACTTAAAGCCATCTTGACCATTAATATTATTTCAACGCTTTGAGTTTCATACGAATTTGATTTAAATGTATAATTTTGCGATATATTTTATTATGTTATGGACAGTAAGGGTGATGTTTTACCTGCAATCATGACTGTTCAATATATAACCCACATTGTAGTACGTTACTACGCACGGCCGGTGTTTTACCAAATTGCCCTCGTGACTTGCTATAGCCGCTGCTTATCTATGCTGGATATGCAATGAGTTTTCATACATTTACAATTGCTTCCATTTCGTCTTCAGTTTTCTGGTTTCA